TCAGTCCCCTATCTCCTCCCAATACGCTATCCGGTTTAGAGGTAGAATCTCTCGGTAGTATGATATTTCTCACTCTGCTATGTGCTTATAGCTGTTACCCCTTTCAGGTGACGAGGTTTAGCGGGATCAAGATGGAAAATGAATCGCTATGTTATTTTGTTTTTTTTTCTGTCTTCTATTATTAAACTCTTGTAATACTATGAAGCACCGGACCGTTGTAGCAGAGGTTGTGGTGGTGCACAGTGCGCCATGAGCGACTTATACATGATACTGTGGATAACCCCCCCTCAAACTCAAATAGGTGTGAAGATAGAAACCTATTTGAGGTTGAAACAAAGGGATTGAGAAAGCTGACCGGTGTAGAAGACACTGTATGAGTGTGTATAGAGGCTGCCCAAAAAAAAAATATACATGGATGTAGATATCGAGCCCTCAAAAGTCGTGCCCTCAAAAGGTGTGCCCAATCTGTCAAAAGGCGTGCCATCAAAAGGCGTGCCCGATGCATCAAAAGGCGTGCCAGATATGATAGCGAGGCACGTGAGTGCTTTGGCGGGCATGCCCGTTTGTCTGGCGTCGAGAGGCGCGCGATGCGCGTGGCTGCCTCGGCTATTTAACCAAGACAGAGCCTGAGGCCGAGGCAGAAGCAAGAAACCTGCGAAATCCTCTGTAAAACTCTTCGTTGTGCTGAGAGAGAGAGGCTGTAACACTGTTGTGCTGTGAAAAACTCTTCCTTTGCAGAGAGAGTTGTGTTCGAAGAGAGAAACTCTGTAATATTCTGTAACACTCTGTTTCCCAGAAATGGCCTCTTCGTCTTCCCGGAGTCTGCTCACTCTCTTTCCAGACCACAACGAGTCAGCAAGAGAGAAAACTGGTGTGGTGGCACGGGAACCTCAACCAAGCGCCCCGGAGTTTGCTCCGTTGAACTTTCCGATGCGGTCCGTGGAGCAAAAAATGGCGGTGCAGTCGGATGTGGAAGCCAATCAGTATACTTTGAAGGCATGTGTGGAGTCCATGACGGCGGTGACAAACTTGTCGAACCGGCTGCAGAGCAGGACAAATGAGGTGCAACAGTTAAACTCCCAGCTTGCTCTGCTCCAACGCATGTATAAGGATGCGCGAGCAGAGATAAGCGTGCTAAGGGCAGAAAACAAGGAGCTGAAGCGGAAGGCCACCGTGATGTTCCGATTTGGAGGGACGCCATATGCTGCAGTGGAGGAGCAGGGAGGAGGCAACTTGCTTGGTGGTCTAGGAAGCACGGAGGCAGTACCGTCAAGAACCGCCCAGGACGGAGGCAAGAAGAAAAGACAGGCGGCAGAGTAGAGAAGAAAAATCCCACCTGTAAATGTGGTTGTTTGGTTTGGATGTGTGGTCTTGGTGTTTTTATTTTTTATTTTTTTATTTTTATTTTTTATTTTTTTTTTATTTTTTTATTTTTGTGTGTGTAAAATGGTGGTCGGGGTTGATCCCGGAGATGAATAAAATATGAGTGGTGTGCAAATTTGTAAATGGTTAGGTTTGTTTGTTTTTTTTTTGTTTTTTTTGTTTTTTTTTGTTTTTTTTTGTTTTTTTTGTTGTATCGCTCCTCCGTCGGGCGAAAAAGATCGAGAGAGATCTTCACCCCTAATGAGAATTTCTGCTCTGGCCACCTTGCCTCCTACTACCTTCCCACTCTTGCCGTCCATTGGTGGGTATGTCTATTCCGACTTCCCCTCTCTCTCTAGAACCTTGCATAAAACTCTCTTGTTTTTGTTTTGTTTTGTTTTGTTTTGTTTTTTTTTTTTGCTGTAAAAGTGTGATCGGGGTGGATTCCCAATATGAATAAAATATGGTGTGTTGTGCAAATATGGAAATTTTTTCTGGTTGTTTTTTTTTTTTTTTTTGTAATATAATATAAAAAAAAGAGATAGATATATAGAGATAGAGATAAAAGAAAGAAAGGGGGAACAACATGATGTCGTTGGGAAGTGTGGGGAAGGATAGTGTGCATTGGGTGGGTCACATGGGAGAGAGAAAGAAAAGAGAGACATGTACAAAGCAATTGGTGGGTCGTGGGCGGTGCAAAAGATGGAATAAAAGAATAAAAAAAAAGGAAAAAGAAAGGTGAGTGGGCTCTCCCTCGGTAAACCGTGTGTGTGTGTGAAGGCGCTAACCCAAAACTGCCGAGAGAGGGAGAGAACCCGAGAGCAGAGGCATTGCCGGGGAAGCAGGAGTCCCTGTCTTTGTCACTCTCTGGATCAGAGTTCATAGAGATGTTTATAGGGGTGAGGGACTTGTTCAACAAGGCGCAGATGAACTCGCCATGCTTGGTTTTCATCGATGAGATAGATGCTGTTGGGATGCAGAGAGGGACCGGCATTGGTGGAGGAAAGGATGAGAGAGAACAAACACTGAACCAGGTGTGGACAGAGATGGATGGGTTTAGTGGAAACAGTGGAGTCATTGTCATTGCTGCCGTGGGTGTGAAGCTGGAGGGGCTTCCGGCGGAGGGGGTGGGCCGTTGCAAGCTCAGTAGCAGCGGGAGAGAGAACCCGTGTACCAGAAGTCATGGAGAGAGAGAGAGAGAACCCGTGTACCAGAAGTCATGTCGAGAAGATCAGTCCAACGCCAGAGAACCCAGCGACGGCGCAAAACAGATCACTACCTTCACGATCACCACAGCGCACGGTCTGGTTGCAGCAGGAGCTAAATGTTCATGTCTATCATTGCATGCACATTCCGGACTGTTTTAAGGACACCGCTTTCATCATTAGGAGAATCGGTTGTTACAGGTATTGCATGTAGATCAAACCGTGGAAGGAGCAGAAAGGAGTGACCAAATCGTGTTTCTGAACTGAGGAGAAGTGAAGAATGTTTTGATGGGTTCGTTGGCAGGGCCAGAATCGGCTGGAAGAAGCTATCCCTGTGTGTGTTCTCATGCCCCACGAGAGAAAGAGAGAAGAGAGTGACAGTGAGAGAGCTTGTGTGTTTTGTCCATCTATGTGTGTTGCTCTGTGGTCATGCATGGTGACCGAGAGAGAGGTGATGAATGCATGGTTTGATCAGGCCTCCCATGGCTGGAGGGGAGTGAGACTGAAACCGGCGGAGCGGAGAGAAAAAGGAAGCTGGGTTTTGCCCCAGTTTCAGCACAAACTGCTCTCTTCTTCTTCGGTGTGTGTGTCAATGGATGGTTGTTATGGCGGTGCAGGTGGTTGAGTTTGCTAAACATAAAACCAGCATAAAACCAGCAAGAGAGAGGGAGCTTGTTTGGCTGGGCTGAGGTCCGGCGAGCGGCTAAGGCGAGGCTGCCGCCCGCCGGTGGAACAAAATTATTAGATTCTTAACCTTGCTCTGATACCATGAAAGATTTATGTATAAAGAAAGAGAAAGAATTGTGTATTGAAATGTTGTATTGAATGTTATTGATAGATATTACAAAGGTTCAGTTGAACTCCTCTATATAGGAGAGGAGCCGAAAGTTGCAATAATAAAATAAAGTAAAAGGAAAAGAAATATACCCTACTAACAGCTGATATACACTAACATAGAATAATATACTAACAAAGATGACAGCAGAGATATGCATTACTTCGACCTAACTACTTTACAGATTGCTACAAACAATTTCTCTGACACAAATAAGCTTGGACAAGGTGGTTTTGGTCCTGTCTAGAAGGTAGAAAACATTTTTGCTCAACATTAATATAATCGATAAAATATACCCTATGATCCTTACAGTTTGCATAATCACGATCTTTGGCCTAATGGTTGTGTAGTATCACTTTGTGATATGAGATCTCATTACTTTGATCTTTTGAAATTTAATTTTGTTAATTTTATCCTTACAATTTTCAGTTCAAGTCATATTAGTCTAATTACAGTGTTCGTCTAAAATGGTGAACGGGGTGAGCCCCGACATGAATAAAAGGAGTGGGGTGTGCAAGTCATCTTCGTTTTTTTTTTTTTTTTTTTTTTTTTTTAATTGGGGAAAAAAAAAAAAAAAAAAAAAAAAAAAAAAAAAAATTGGGAAAAAAGCCCATCCCTAACGCAATTTTTTGGAAGCAAAATAGAGTGGCCAAAGCAAGGCAAAAGGCGTGGGCCTTTTTGCTGCCCCCTTGGCTGACTTTTCTCTTCCCAAAATAAATTTTTTGATTTTGATTTTGATTTTTTTTTTTTAAATCAATTGAATAAATAATATATAACCCTAGCCACTAGAATATTTTGCTCCTCACTATCCTCTGATTATTCAGTTAACTATTTATTTTAACTCCTATAGTTTTTCCACAAAACTGTATTTGATACAGAAACTTTAATCATAGCAAGACAAAAAAAAAAATTATTTAAAAGGAATTTAATATTGGTATTAAGTTTAATGGTGCTAAAATTAATCTTATAACATTATAATTTAATAGTTTAAATAACCACTAATAATATTGAGATTTTTTAAAATAAACTAATTAGTTTTGTCTAAGAAATTCAAGTCTTACATAGCATAAGGATCAGGTTAGGGACTAATCCCTTCACCATAATGGTACCAGTCTCAATGCCTTAAAACATTCATACATTAACAGAGACAAAAATGGTGAATCTGAAACACTCAAAACAGCCTTGGCTCGAGCAGACTCGGAACCTCAAAGTGAGGCAAATAAACGTTGGCTTGACAAAAACATTTTGAGCTTAACTTTGACGCTCTTAGCTTTGGTCCGAAGCCTGGCGCACCTACATATATATATATATATAATATAAACTGTGAACTAAAGCCAATGAATAACAAATATGTAACAGGAGTTTAAGAATGATGTCTTTTAGTAATTTAAAACATCAATTAGATCTGTAGATCAGTTTTCTTCAAATCAGCTGCCGTCATATTTCATGTCATATCCCGTTCATTTAGAAATCATAGCAGTCATGACTGATACATCCAATAGCAAGAACAGTACAGTAGGTTCTTCAATAGACCAAACAGTCAGCTTGATGGCCGATTCAAAAAAAACAAAAGTTAAAACAAAAGTATAAGTAGTTCAAAATTGGAAACTGACAGAGATCTCTGTAACAATAAAGTACAGTAGCATTTAACAGTAATAGTAAGTTGGCTATGGATGCCAATGGTACAGTTCATAAAATAGGGACAAACATTTTATTCAGTCGAACAATATTCAACTCAAGAGCAGTACAGTCAATCTTCAGAAGATGAATTATAATTGAACATATTTACAACATTATTACTCAACAGATTATTAGGAGCTCATCAAGCGGCTAAACAGCTTCCTTGAGCTGTCAGACCTACAACAGTTTGCAGAAGCGAACACAACACTAAATTACACAACTCGGGATTAATAACTTAGGCCCCTAACTGTGATTTGTGTGGGGTTCTATAACATTATCCTTATCATCATGTTAGGAATGCCTAGGATAGAGTGAGGATGCAAAAATGTACTTAAAAATATTTTTCAAACTTCATGAAAACAGGGGTCCTCGCTTGAGCGTAGACTCTTTGCTCGAGCGAGCAGACCGTAATGAGAGAAGGTCACTCGAGCGTGAGACTTCTCGCTCGAAAGTGATCTGTAAAAAATGTGAAAAGTACTGGTTGCTGTAAATTCTCCGCTCGATGCTTGTGTGGCGCAGGTCTGCGTCGCTCGGCGGTGTGTTGCAACGCAAAACCTGCGAGCTTGCAATTTACGCTCGAGCTAGGCTAATTTTCCTTCGCTCGAGCGAAGTCCGAAAACAGGCGGTAGCTTCGATCGTGAATACTTTCCTCGAGCGAGAGCCGAATTTTTGGGTTTTCCAATTTGCTCCCAACTTCAAACCATGAATCAGAACATGCAAAGCACATCCTTTTTTGGGCAAATTTCTGGAAAACCACTAGAAACTCATTAACACACAGCATGTTTGAAGATCATTTCATAAATCAAAGCCCAACAGTATGCCAATTGAACACATTTCAATGTAACTTTTATGTACAATGCAAGAAACAACATGCATAGGTTTCTTTGATCTTGAGCTTCTCAAACCATGATCAAATGCAACATTCAACTCAAAACATGGTGAATTCTTGATTTTAACCATGATCAAGAACATGCATGGTGAGAATTTCATAGAAATGAACTTCAAACTCCATGGTATGGACATGCATGCATGAATCACTAAACTCCCTTGGATTTAAGCTCAATTCTCTCATTAATTTCACTCTATTTAATCATATGTAAGTCCTAGATGGGCTCAATACAAGATTAAAAGGTTGAGCCTACCTAGGCTTCTCCAATCAAACTTCACCTAAGCCAAACCTTGAGCCACTGTAGACAAGTCTCATTCTTCTAAATTCAAGCAAATTTCTTGTTGGAGTTTAATTTCGCCTCAAGTCTCTCCTCTCTCAACGTTTGACTAGGAGGTGGAAGCTAATTGGTGTCAAACAATATATGAAATGAGAATAAACAATGGCCTTTTAAATAATTCCATTTTAATGACAAACATAATTAACTTAGTTTCAATTAATCAGCATGATTTATTCTAATTTAATCATCCCAAATCGAAATTTAATTAAACCTACCATAAGAAATCATAAATCCTAATTAACCATTATAACACAAGTCAATTTCTGGACCGGTTGTCGATAAGCGCGTTCATTCGCAATTTGAAATCAAAACAGAACATATATTTCTATATCGAAAAACAGCATATATAATGCAATTAAAACAATACAGCACACATAATTAATTTAGGGGGATTTCATCTAGTCCAATTACCTTATCATGCTAATCATAGAATTGGACTCTAATCAGAGGTGAGGGTTGTTCACACCACGCTTTCTTCCATTTTGACATCCACCTTATGTCTTTTTCTATTGCCACTCCTTTATGTGTTTACTAAAATGAGCAACTTTCCTATTTCTCCATGCTTCCAATCTCTCTTCCTCTTGAACACACAATGGGTCAATAAGGTTCATTTGATAGATCATTTTTCTTTCCCTGTGTGTTGTAAGAAATTTGAAATGGCTCCATATTACACAAGAAGGAATTGAGTATGAAATTTAATAACAAGAATGACTCAGAAATCTCCAATCTTTAAGGACTTAAGACAAGCTGCAATGTCTCATTTCCAATAATGTGCTCACGCACAGTCCTAGAATTTGGTATATGCTTCAATTCCTGATAAGTTTGTTCATTAGGGTGCCGTTGTTAAATCTTTGTAGACTAACAAATTGCTCTTCAACGGCCTTCAGTAAA